GATTTTAAGAATGCCAAGAATATTTCCTTAGAAAATCCAGAACGAAAGCGTATTTTTATTGAGCAAATATTTCATATGGTCGATTCGGGTGAACTTCATATGGAGGATATTCTAGATGAGGCGCTATCCATGTTGATGGTGGTGAGTGGGAAATGAACTCAGTTAGTTTCCTGTTCTTATAGATATTTTTAAATATTATTTCTTCTTTGCAAGTCATTCGAAACGATTTCAACAAGTGTTCTGGTCAACGTGCTGCTTTTGGCTATGCACGAGGATTGTCAGCGTAAATTACGCGAAGAAATCGCAACAACTTTTCCCAACAAATCACAAATAATCAATATTGATCCAGCGCTGTTGTTGCAAATGAAATATCTTGATGCCATCGTTTATGAATCGCTGCGCTTGCTCACCACCGTACCATTCAATATGCGCGCTGTGAGTAGAGATTTTTATTTTCAACTAGCCACTGGCAGCGGTTCAACTACTCGGCGAGTCAAAGTACCAAAAGATACTGCCTTGGTATTTGATGTTTTCAATATGCAACGTGATGCCAAGTATTGGGGTGCGCATGCCAAAGAATTTCACCCAGAGCATTTTGCAACAGGAAGTGGTGGATCAGCGGAACGGCATCCTTATTCATTTGTGCCATTTGCCAAGGGATTACGTTACTGCATTGGTAAAATTGAAATTAATATGTATGTGTGCATCTGTGATTATGTAAATTAGACCGTACCTGTGTAAAAAAGTTCGGCAAGGTAATTTCGAAAAAAAAAATCAAAAACAGATTATAAATGTCGCAGATAGGACGTATAATGTAAAAAACCGATCCCTAGGGGCGGCAAAATTTTTTTTTTTCGAAATGGTCTCACAAAAATACTTTAGACTCGGGGGTATTCGGCCAACTTTTTTTGTTTGCTTGTAAGGAGGTAGGTACGGTCTAATTTACATACATACAGTGACTCAAATAAGTGACCAAGTGTTGATTATTTTAAATGTTCACAATGGTATTCAACTTATTTTTTTTCAAACTTTATACAAAATTTAGCAGAACTCTTTAGTCGGTTGAAACTTGTAGAAATTTTCTAAAGATTTAGATCAAAAAGTTTGAAATTTTGTTGAATTTTCCTAAGTTTTGCATAGAGTTTGAAACTTTTATTTATGTGGTTTAGTTAAAGCTTGCACAATATTTTTATACCACACGTTACTGTATATGCTTCTTATTTTTTTTTTAATTTTTTGTTTGTAGGGAATCGCTATTCGATGTACTTGGCTAAAATATTTCTGGTAAAATTAATTTATCACTTTGAATTTGGTACCTCAACAAAACTGAGTGATTTAGTATTTGTAAATGGCATTTCGTTGAAATTTGGAAATAGCGAAAGCATAAAATTTCAAATAAAAAGACGCAGTGACTGCAGCGGCGTATAGTTCTTCTTTGTCGTCTTTAGCCATGGATGAATTTAACCTCGAATAAACTCAGTGGTTGCACAAAGCCTTTGAAATGGTTTATCGCTATAAAAAAAAATTTCACATATTTTATACTTTTCTAAATTTAAATAAATAATTAGATATGTATTAATTAAAAAAAGACTCATTATTTTCGTTAAGCTTCAACCCATCCCACCACTGCCGGCCGTCCACTCAACCCTTAATGCGATGTGCCGCGAGAAAGAGCAAGTAGCGCAGCCTTTGCACTCGCTCCAGCGTTTTGAATAGCGTGGTCTTCTCCTTTGCATTTCACCACACGAGGACTCCATGAACATGAATGGGTTTAGATTTGCTTTCTAGAGTTTTGCAGAATAAAACAATTTTGAGATTAATTTAACACTTTTTATTATTGATTGTGGAATAAGGCAGCTAAATTTGTTTTCCTTTGAACCGGCTTATAATTAAATTTTCAACTTGCCAGAAAATACAAAAAGCCGGGTCCAAACATCTAGTTTAATTTACTGTTTTTTTCGCTTAATATTAACACAAATTCCAACTTGTGCTGGAATGTAAATACATGTCCTTTGAAAAAATTTACAACATTGCCTTGGGCCTTATTAATTAATATTTGTATACCTAAATATCTGAGTAAATAACTAATGCTCTAATAAAATAATAAGTCTACATACATACATACATAAGTAAGTTAATTCAGATTACCCAAATTAAGGTAAATCTAAGTTTTTGTAGTTTTTTCTGTTCGCCGGTCCGAAGAGACTAAGCAAAATAGGCAACAGAATGAGACCATGCGCTGCTCCTATTAAAACGATGCCGAGATACATGCGGAAGTAGAATACTTGAAATACTTGCGATTTGGAGAAACCCAAAACGATGATACCGGCAAACTTCGTTAGGGTAATACCCGACAGAACGCTGCTTCCAGTTACCACTAGCGCCTGCCTTGCTCGCTCCTCCTTATTACCATTCTCATTCTTATACGAACGTATTATATGTGCAACGAACTCTACACCAATGCCAATGCATACCACTAAATTCACCAGCGAAATTGCGTTCAGTGTAATATTCCATGCCCACATCATGCCGATCATATTGATCAGGATTATCAGCACCATGAATGTGACCATCAAAGCTGATGGAAAATCTAAGCCGGTGATGAGTAGTGTAACGTTGAATATAGCCAATAGTGTGATGGCGAGAGAGAAGAGCGCATCATGCCAAATGGTGAGGTATTGTTCATAGAATATGAAGAAAACACAATAGGGGAAAATGGTCACGTCGTATTCGTATTCGGCAAACATTGCATTGATATCGGCGGCAATGCGACGCGCTTCACGAAGTGCCGTGTAGAATTGAACCGATGTGGTAGATGTGGTGGAATACTGCAACATGTAGGTGTCCAAAATGTCAGAATCGCCTTGCTCGTCCAGTGTATATATGACCGCCTACGGGGGGAGGTAGAGATTAGTTAGGAGTTGAAAGAATTGCGAACAAACGACGCTTACATCCGCATACGAAGCGCGTCCTGCTTTGGCACATTCGCTATCAGGTAGATCGGATAAGAAATATGGTATGTATTTTCTGAAGGTTTCCGATGTGGGGCGCAAACCATCTTCAGAGAATTCACGATCACAGGCCACACAATCATCGTCTTTTGAGTCTGTGAAACAATGAAATGCAAACAATTACTTTGCAAATTAAATTCTATACCACGGAGTGAGGTGAACACTTACTGCTTGGACAGAAGGTACCATCGGTAGAGTTAACCTTACAGCAATCGCCAATGGCAAGCCAATCGACGTAATCGTCTATCCAAGAGCTAGCTGAACGCGCCAAGTAAGTGCTGTATGGAAATACATTTTTATACGTAAAACAAAATGTCAATAACAATTAAAAATTTATGAAATTGTATAAAAAGTTCTTGCATATTATTTGTAAACGCTGAATAATTCCGATTGAATGCTTTTATTTTGCGCAATGTGAGCAAAAATTTTGACAGATGGTTTACGCGGCCGTAATGTTACGAGGTAAACTATGTATTATGAGGCATTTACGCGTTTAGGTGAATACGCTGATTATTTTTATTCCGTTGATGAAATTTTTAAAAATTTTTATGCAGACCTTTTAAACTTAAACCTTTCCATAACATTAAATATTTTTTAAAATTAATTTTATTTATAATTCCGATGGAAAAACAGTATCGATTTTGTTTAGTTTGTGATTCACCCTAATGTAGATATATTTTGGTTTAAATTTAAAATTTGCGTGCTACTCACATTTCGGGATAAAGAGACTGCTGATAAAGCTTCACCGACACAGAAACATTATTACACTGCACGCCACCGCAAATCAGATTCTGGTGATCGCGTAGCGTGTAATTTAGGCCAGGCTTCAGCACCCAATACACAGGCGCACCCATTGACAAAAGTTCACTCATATATTGAAAATATTTGACGACGTGCGAGTCGGTTGGCATGGACAGCTCCTGATCTAGTCCGACTTCGACAGAAGGCGCCACCATTAGCGATAAGCAAGTGACAATTGTGAATACAATTAAAACGATGATCTTGACAGATCTGTGGAATTAAATTAAACAAAAGGCTATATGATCATACCTCATATCCAAGAACCAAAAATTTCTTACTTTGAAAACAAGAAGGGAGCATAGAAGTTCCTGAAAACCTTCTCTAATACACCAACATCTTGACCATCACTCAATTCAGGCTTTTTCGAAGTTTTAATGCAACATAAAAGATCAAAACGTCCATTTTCCAAACGACGCTCATCCAAGGCCATGAAAGCGACAAATGCCGTAAGCTGAAAGAGGAAATTTAGCAAAATAGCTGCCGCTGCGTACATAGCGAAGGTCTTAACCGCTGGCATATCCGATATGGCACCTAAAGAGAACTAAGGGTTGTAATTTCGTACAATTAAGGGGCCACAGTCACCGCGGCGGGCACGTACCTATGGCGAAACAGGCAAACTCTGAACCAGCAGTCTGTAGAATCGACGGACCGACACGCGCCATCGCCTCGCCAATCGCTTCGGCTACACTATTATACTGCTTCCTATCTAAACGGTGATAGGCGTGCACCATAATGAAAATATTATCCACACCAACGGCCAACACCAAAAACGGTATCACCTCAATGGCGAGCATTGTAGTTGTGACGTTCAAGTAACTCCAGAAGCCCAAACTGCAAACGACCGAAGCCAAAACGACGATAATACCGGCGATGGCGAGTACTATTTTCGATTCACGGAAGAAACCAGCACAACTGCGTATTTTACCCAATGCAATGGCGACGTAGACAAACATAACAACATAGCTAATTACAACAGTAGAAACTTCACCTTCCGAAAGCTCAACAATTGCGTCCTGGATGGATCTTTCGGCGGAAAAGGCAAATTCCATTTTGTCGCTGGTATAATTTTTGAGAAAGTCGATGAAGGTTTTCTCCCACTCCATATTGGGCTGGAGCTGTTGTTCGGTGCGACGGTTTTTGCCGACAAACGTTACCACCACGCCAGTGGCAAGCTGATAATCCGGATCTTCACTAGCTGAAACTTTCGGCATGCCGCCTACAGAAATACCAGGTTCAATGGGACCGCCATAAGGGCCATAACAAGACTCCAACATTGGAACTCTATAGAAACATAGAGGTATCTCACAGTAAGCACCTAATTCATACTCGTACATGATCGTATATATATAGTACGTACATTAGGGTGGTCCAAAATAATTAAAATTCGAATTTTAATGCTCTCACCCCCTAGGATTATTCTATATCAAGAAAAAAGTGTACCCCTATTTTTGATTTTTATGGCAAAAAATATATAGAGGTCGCTCAAAGCACTCAATTTTTGGACCACCCTAATGAACATACATATATTATAGGATGCAATGCACATAGAATTCACTCACCGGAGGCAATCCTCAAGTTGATTAAGATAGTTGTTAGTGTAACCATCTGAATCTACATACTCTAAATCAAACTCATCCATATTATTTTGGAAGTAGCCAAAAATGGATTGCACCAAGCAATCATCAGTGGTCGCTTCCACTCCGGTATATAACATAGGCGCATAGCAAACATCGGCTAATGTAACACCGGTTTCTGTGGTTATTGCTTCAATTTGTTGTTGCAACGTGAAGACCTCTTTTAGGAAACTTTTTTCGAATGCTGGCCCAAATGTCAATATGCCCGTTGATGTGTTGTGCGTGAACTAAAACGAAGAATGCAAGTTAATACAATTAAGTACTTCCCGTTCCCGATATCTACTAAAAATATACGTGCCAAAGTTCACTTACACTCGATTGGTTAATGGGTTTGAAGAATATCTGATTGGTGCGATAGAAGGGTCCGAAACGTTCATCAAAGTAATCTTTTTCCAAACGTGTTTGACTATCTTCGCTAGCCCAAAGCTCAATTGGGTCTGTGGTGACACTTACGTATCTCATGCCATAGGATAGTCCCCCAATCACCCAGGAACAAATTGCCAAAATAAGTACGGGATTTTTTGCACAGAAATATCCCCAAGCACGAAAACTCTTAGAGAGTATAGTATTCACGCAGCTAAAACCCGCACAACAGCTTGACATCTTGATTTTCGGTTTGCAGATATTCAGTGAGCCGCAAAGTATGAACACCATGACGAGGGCGCCGAATACGAGCGAGACTATGAAAGTAATTCCATAAAGTCCGGCTATCATATAGCTTTCTGCCTGCCCAGTAGGAGCGTCCATATAGGGACAGGAGGCACTGCAATCAACACATGAGCACGCAAATGTGCCGTCATAGGCTTCCGAACAATTTTTCGCTGGTACAACCAGACGTGGTAGCTCGCTTGTTTCATTTAAAAACTCGTAATTTATGGGGAATGGTACATAATCACTCAAAGTTGGGTCACCCATGAAGATGTACCATTTGCGATGATCGCAGGTCTTTGCGTTATATGCGCCACATGCTAGATCCATGGCTGGACGACCCGTCTGTGTGTGTTGAATCCCGCGCAACTATCGTAGACTAGCTCTACGGACGCATCATCGATACGGTAATCGATTTCCTCAATATATTCATGGTCATCGTACGTCTCATTATAGGGTACCAAAAAGAGGCTATGATTCTGCGCGCAGGTCAAGCCACAAATTGAGTAGGCCATATTGTAAACGCAAGTGGGACAGCGGGAGAAGACACCGTCGATTTGTGATAAACCCGATTCCATTGTGCGCAGCTGAGCAGCGTCACAGCAGAGCATGAGAGGCTCTATATACATATATAAGAACATAGAAGTGTAGAATGTAAGTTTTGAGCTTTATAAGATTAAGATTCGAATAAAAATAATTTTTTTGTTGTATCGCATTTTACCATCGGGGTCCGAAGACTTGTATTCAGCATACCAAAGTGGGCAGCGTCGTTTAAAAATCGCTTCAGCGCTGGTATCATTCAATGGTTGCGGTGGACTATTGACAGCTTTATTAAGCCAATGCTGCCCAACCGCGTGACTCTGGCCATACCAAATGCAATGTGGCTCCTCGTCCTCAGCTGCGGTGGTAAAGTTTAACATCCATGTTGAGGCAATTATCAGCCATAACGAAACAAATATCACCGTCTTTTCTGCAAGAATAGAAATAAATGCAGTTGTGAATAAAAATTTTGAATGTGCAGGAGCATTTCCACAGAATAAGACTTAAATGCGTGGATTAAACTGATATTGTGTTGGCATTCGAAAAAAAAAACAACTAAGCATATGCCATGTTATTACCAAAACCCACTTAGGAGGCTAAGAGCTCATATCAACTACTCTACACTGAGGGAAATAATGCATAGTAAAAATTACAACCTTATATTTGATTATCCTTTAAAAATGCTCATATATAAAAATATTATTTCCATACCGAAATTTAGTACGTACGTATTTGAAGCCTTTGAAATACTGTATATGCAATTGTAAATATGAGACATATAATTTCATACATTTTTGATTATTTCTTATTTTTTCGTTCATTGGTAAAATCACGATTGCGATTATGTTTGTAAGTAATCAATTATTTATTAATCATTTAAAAGGTGCAAGTAATGGTATTTAATCATTAAATTGTTCCCTTACAAACACTATCTAATTAATAATCATTATTTAATAGGTCTGGTTTGAATTAAATCTCTTTTCTCAGTGTAAAGTAGAGCTCCCATTTAAATATGTGAATTCACAGCTTTCACTCCTTTATGCAACCTAATGTGAACAACCGTACTTCTTTCGGAAGTACAGTATTTCTAGCTTTTAGCTCTTTTATTTCGTACATCGAAGTATAGTCTTCTTCTTCTTAGCGATATCTTGCACTTCAGTTCCTGGACTTCGCCGATCTTCTGGATGATCGTCACATGGCCTGGGCGATAAATTCGTTCAAACCATTAACGCAGCTGCATAGGGTCCTGAAGATGTCGTGCAATTGGTTCAAACCTATTTATGCGAACTGCGAGAGGACCGGGTACATCCTCAAGGCTTGGAGGGTAGTCAGTGTTGCGTTCATACCGAAAGCCGGAGAGGGCTGTCATGTATTTTGGGCCTATCAATCCCTTTTCGTTTTTGCTAAAAACGCTAGAGAGACTGCTAGGCCTGTACTTAATAAACGCAGTTCCTCGTGACTGTCTTTCAAGAGCCCAACATGCTTATTGCAAGAAAAAATGGCAACACTGGCGCATAGTCAATAGGGACACACCACATGGTGGTGTTCTCTCTCCCCTGCTCTGGATGGCGTTTGTAAACGACCTTCTAGAGGAACCGGGAAAAGTGGGCTGTCGCGTGTTCTCCTATGTAGATGATGTGAAACTTCTGGTTAATGGACGATTTCCATCCACCCTTTTCGATCTGGCTCAAGGTTACCTTAACCAGGTAACTAGCTGGGCGATCAGCGACCATTTTCGCATCACGAACTTCTATTGGGATAAGGGGAAAGCGGCTGGTAACACTCTGGAGTTCTGAAGGGCTTTGACTTCGCCCTGAACACATAGATTACAGCGCCTTCGAAATGGCTCCCAGAAGCTCCTTCTCTACCTATATTCCCTCAAGAGCGGACTGGGTAGGGCGGGGTTACTCGAAGAAGGGAGCGGCAAACTTCTTTATGGACGGATCAAAACTTGAAGACAGGGCCGGTGGAGGTGTCTTTTGTCGGAAACTCTTCACTAAAACTATGCTCACGCGTCTGGATATCTGCAGTGTCTTTCAGGTGGAAATAGCTGCCATTATGATGGGCTCGAAATCGGTAAAGGAATGTGTGACCTCGCTATCAATCGCGTTACGTACTTCTTGGGTACTACTTCTGTATGGCGGATGACTTGTCATTGGAATGGCACCCTTAAAACTCTATCCCCAGATAAGAAGCAACTAGAGACGCCTCTGTCCTCCTGCGGTATACTCTTGGATGGTTGATAGTCGCGATAATGAAATTGCATACTCTACTAAATACATAATAAAATGGACAAAAGAAGGCGATGCTCCTTTTGTGACATAAACAAAGGAAAATAAGACGTTTCTCTGCTACCGCGAGTATTTTTATAGGGCACTTTAAAATACTTTTTGCAGCGTAAGACACGAGTGACCCATCGTTAACCTCTCAATGGCTAGTGATGGGGTTTCTGACAGGCCATTGTGCGATTGGTATTCACGCGATTAGACTAGGAAATTTAACTGATCCTTTTGCATCAGCTGTCAAGAGGAAGATAAAGCGAAATCACCTCCACACTTTCTTTTAGTCTGTGCAACCTTCGCAAGGATAAGGAATTTTCCCTCGCACTTCTGAAATACAACTGAGCTCTCAGGGATTGAAATTATCCGCATTCGTAATTTCATGATCGGGTCGCGGCGTTAACCAAACCGAAGCTAATCTCTAGTTCTTTGAAATATGAAATAGTTGGTCACATAATGCATACCTCTCCTAATGATTTATAAATGTACTACATAAAATGCACTTATGTATATGCCATAAATGATAAGAACAATAAATAGGCCAACAACTCCTACTTGAGTATATTACATATACACATAAAGAAAAAAAAAAGCAATTTAACGGTAAGATTTATCACTGGTGTAAAGCGTTTATCATAGCTTTAATCGAATTAGGCCTTTTCATCTGACATGTTTCTAATAACTTATTTATGTACTTTTATGCGCACAAAAGTTAATAAATATGTAAGCAATATTGCTTTCACATACTTGTCATTTTTTTGTTTTGTTTTTATGCAGCTTTGCAAAATTTTGTTATTAAAGGACGCCGCGAATACTCTGCTTTAATCCTTAGCACAGCCGTATATAATTTCACTCAATGCATTTCCGACTTTACTCAACGTTTACGTCTAATTTAACGCCCGTCTTAGCAACGACTAAGTTCACTGCTGGACATAAGTGGTCTAATCAAGCATTTAAACCTTATATCGAAAAGGCGTGTATGTATATATGTCCAATTTTTTTCGAAGCGTCACTTATACATAATCAATTGATTAGATTTTATTAATTGCCGATTTAACACCTGCAACAAGGTTTTTTTTATGAGTAATTGGCTGTTATCGGCTGATTTAAATGGTTACAGTAAAATATGTACATCAATAATCCAAAGCCATCGAACACCATCTGGTTAATGATTTTAAAGTATACATACATACATATGTACATTAGAGTGCATCATCAAAAAAAGTTGCGGTTTTTGCGCCGGGAGTACAAAATTTATTATATTTTAAGACGTCCACTAAAATATTTCGTATAAATATTAAGACTTCAGCGAGCTGGACCGATTTGAAAATACCTCCAGAAATGGAGTTTTTATAGATAAAAATAGTTTCTTAAAGCACATTTTGAAAGAACTCCCCTCAGATGACAAAACAGATTAGGCTTAAAAAATCTGCATAAAAATCTTTTCAACGGAATCGTAATAATGAGATTTATGAAGCTCTTTTTTGAATTTTTTCAAAGATTGATTTACGAAAAACTCAAATAACTGGGCCAAAACTGTTCTGATTAAGACTTATGGCATCTCGGTAGAAAGGTATTTTCCCACTATTTTTATTTATGTACAGAAGAAAGAAAAAGTCATTCGTGTTCCATTTTTTTTTGTTTTTAAATACCAACACATCTTAATTCAACTTTGAATGATGTTCGTTCATCCCACCTTTCAGAATGAGCTTATTAGCAAAGAAATAAAAAGGGTGAGAAAATACCTTTCCAATGATACCTCACAAGTCTAAACCGGAAGAGTTTAGGTTCAGTTATTCAAGTTTTTTAAGTTATACCAATCTTGGAAAAAAGTTAAATAACAGCATCAAAAATCTCATTNTTTTTTATATTTTTATGTAAATTTTTTACGCTTGAACCGTTTTGTCATTTGAGGGGATTTTTAAAAAAAAAAACATCTTTAAGAAACAATTTTTATTCATAAAAAACTCAATTTTTCGATGTATTTTCAAATTAGGCCAGCTCGCTTAAATCTTAATATTTTTCCGAAATATTTTGGGGGACGTCTTAAGATATAATAGATTTTATAATTCGAATGGAAAATAGGTACCTTTTTTTTTTTTTTTGTATGGGGAGTGATTTAGTCTAATGTACATATAAGTATTGCACTTTCCAGTAAAGTATGTAAGCTTTGAGGGATCTAACTGTAATTTCACTACTTTTAGTTTCAGTTAACAAAAAGGCGATTTGCACATACATACATGTCAATGTATGTATGTATGTATGTAACCGAATATTTATTTAATTGTTACGGTGTTTTAAAGTAATGCCGTTCGTTTATAAGTAAATGTACATAAGCA